CAGCAGCAGCACCAGCAGCAGCAGCAGCAGCAGCAGCAGCAGCAGCAGCAGCAGCTCAACCCGCCCGCCCTCCCCGCAACTACCACCTACTGCAGCAGCAACTTTTAACAACTTTAGAAGCAGCAGCAACTGCAGCAACTGCAGCAACTGCAGCAGCAACTGCAGCAGGATTCCCTGCCTGTCGTTCTATTTGCTGCTGTTCGAGCAGCAGCAGCAGCAGCAACAGCAGCAGCAGCAGCAGCAGACCCCTCATGTCTCGCACGGGTACCGGTCTCTTGTATCTTCTAAATAAATTAGCAGCAGCAGCAGCAGCAACAGCAGCAGCAACAGCAACAGCAGCAACACTTAATAATAATATAAGCAGCAAAACAATTCCTTTATTAATTATACATCTAACTGTCTCCTTTTCTTGTGTCTCCTTATTGCTGCTGTCTATAGTAGTAACTTATTCATTAGTCTCCTTGCTTCTGCTGCTGCTGCTGCTGCTGCTGCACTATCTGCTGCTGTAGTTGCTACAATTGCTGCTGCTGCTGCTGCTGCAGCAAGAAGAATGTCTTGCATGCAAGGCAGCATAAGAAGACAGCCCCGTTGCTGCAGTGTATAGGGAGACACTTCTTATTAGTCCTTACCTGTCTCCTTATTAATAAGGAGACACTTATTAATTAATAATAAATAAATAAGTAAATAAATAAATAAATAAATTAATTAATTAATTAATAAGCGTCTCCTTTTTTTTATTATTATTATTAATAAGAATAAGGAGACACAAGGAAGGAAGAGACACAACAAGAAAGGAGACAGTTATTAGTCCCTTTTTTTATTTATTATTATTTATTTATTATTTATTAATTAAACAATAAAACAAGGAAAAAAGGAGGAAAAAAAGCAAGCAACAACTGTCTCCTTTGCTGCTGCTGCTGCTGCTGCTTTTGCTGCTGCTGCTGCTGCTATAATATATATATAAATACTTCTATAGACAGACAGCAGCAGCAAGCAGCAGCTGCATGCACTAATTAATTTAATTAATTAATTAATTATAATTAATTAACTATAATTAATTAATTATAATTAATTATAATTAATTAATTAATTAATAATTATAATTATATTAATTATTATATATTTGCTGCTGTCTCCTCTTGCTGGTGTCTCCTTAGCAGCAAGGTGTCTCCTGTCTCCTTTTCTTTCTTTTTTTCTTTCTTTTTTTTTTCTTAATAACAATAAAAAGGAAGAAAAGTAAATAATAATTAATTTATATTGTCTCCTTTTCCTCTTTTCTTCTCCTTAATAAGAAGAAAGAGAGGGGACAGGAAAAAGGAAAAAGGAGACAAGAGGAAGGAGACAGGAGACAGGAGACAATAGGGGTACGTAGATCTATTCAATTGTCTCTCCTGCATGCATGCGTGCATGCATTTACATACTGCATGCATGCATGCATGCATGCATGCATGCGTGCATGCGAATGAATGCACAGCCCCAATATAAATAAAAGTGTCTCCTTTTTCTGTACAGGAGGAGGAGACACTGTATTTATTATTTATGTATATATTTATTTTTATTGGGGTGTATACGCAACTATTTATTATTTATTATTTTATGTCTTTACTAATATAAATAAAAGTAAATAAATAAATAAATAAATAAATAAATAAATAGTTTAGTGTTTTTTATTTGTATTTATTTGCTGCTGCTGCTGCAGCAAAAGAAAATAAACTGCAAAAAGAAGGGAAATAAAATACCCATTAAACGCATGCAGCAGCAGCAGCAGCAACAACAAGAGCAGCAGCGGCAGCAGCAGCAGCAAGAGGTGCTGCAGTTGCTGCTGCTGCTGCTGCTGCTGCTGCTGCTGCTGCTAGCACAGACGCTCCGATTAATTACGATGTCTTCACCTGCTGCAACGACCGTCCTGCTGCTGCTGCTGCTGCTGTTGCTGCTGCTGTTGCTGTTGCTGTTGCTGCTGTTGCTGCTGCTGCTGTTGCTGTAGCTTGCTCTATGAACAATTCTCCCTACCTCCGGCACCAAGTGGTGCAACTGTTGCTGCTACTGTTGCTACTAGTGCTGCATCTGCTGCTGCTCCTGCTGCTACAACACCACCTCCTGCTGCTACTGCTGCTGCTGCTGGTGCTGCTGCTGCTGCAGCAACAGCAGCAGCAAGAGAATATTAACAGGAACAAGAAAGTCTTCCTGTATTTGTTTGTTGCTGCTGATCTGTTATACGTAGATGATTATTACTATCTATTGGTCTTGTGTTTGTTAATAAACTAGGGGTATTTAATATCTATATAGATATACACACATAAACCCTAAACCCTAAACCCTAAACCCTCATAAACCCTAAACCCTCATAAACCCTAAACCCTAAACCCTAAACCCTAATAAATGTAAACCCTAAAATGTAAACCCGAAGCACTTGTCCTTACATAGCAGACACGAAAAGACAGAAAAAGACAAAAGGAGACACAAAAGCAGACAAAAAAGGAGACAAAAAAAGAGACAAAAAAGGAGACAAAAAAGGAGACAAAAAAGGAGACAAAAAAGGAGACACAGAAGGAGACACCTAGAGACACCTAGAGAGACCTAGAGACACGAGGAGACAGATAAAGAGACAGGAAAGAAGACAGCAATAGATATAAAGTATAGAATAATAGATAAAAAGGAGAAAAAAGGAGAAAAAAGAAGAAAAAAATATACATACTTGTGTAACAAGTTCCTCAAATACAATTTGTACATTATATGATGTCTTTGCTGATGTCTCAACAAACAAGGCACCAACTTTCTCTGCTAATGCTCGTCCCTCTTCCTTGCTTACTACCCTTGGCTATACATCAATACACAGGAAGGAGACAAATAAGGAAACAAATATGAATATAAATAAGCATATACTATTTATTTATATTCATTTATTTAGTACTAATTGCAGACAAAAAAAAAAAAAAAAAAAAAAAAAAAAAAAAAAAAAAAAAAAAAAAAAAA